CTCTCTCTCTCTCTCTCTCTCTCTCTCTCTCTCTCTCTCTCTCTCTCTCGTGTGTGTCTGTCTGTCTGTCTCTCACACATGTGCACCTGAACACACACACACACACACACACACACACACACACCACACATACACACACACTTAAAATTAAATCTATGAAAAGAGGTTCCATTCTTGCCTATTGGATTCAAGTACCTTTGTTGGTGCAAAAACTACATCAGTTTAACTTGGGGAAGATGCCCTACAGATATCTGTCTAACCATGAGGGAAAGAGGGAAAGGATGAATATTCTGCAATATGAATCGGTGGCAGAAGTGAACTGTGATACCCTTCAATTGGGATTGCTTGAAAATGCATAGCACTGTGATGGGGTCGTGAGTCAAGCCATAGGATGCACATGCAAGAGGACCTGGATTCAGTCACCAGGATCCACAGTAAAACTGGGCATGGCGGGCTATACTTCTAATCTCAGCACCAGGAAGGAGGAAACAGAAGCTCCCTGGAGCTCGCTGTTCAGTCAGTTTGGCTGGATTTATGAGTTCCAGGTTCAGTGAGTTATTTCTCAAATGGCATTGACCTCTTGCCTTCACATACATACACATGGGTACAAGCATCTGTCTAGGGAAGAAGGACAAAAAGGGCATCAGGGAGGATGCCCAGATGATGGGAAGGAAAGTCCCCATGTGGCTCAGACTGGACCATGTTTGGAGTGGATAGCTAGGACAGAGATCCATAATGAGCAAAATCACAGCAAACTCTGCTTGGGTCATAGACCTAACCACACTGAAAGTCTCATTCCTCTCTGCCAGAGTTCAAGGAACACATTCATAAATGCTACACAGAAAACTGAGAAAAGAAAAAGACGGGGCAATGACTAACTGAAGGAAAAATGAATTGAAGAAAAGATGATTGCTCATAGTGCAATACAGAGTTCAGCTTAGGACAATATTGACAGTTACAATGTCAATAATAAATCCCAGGCCAACGAAGACATGCATTGCAACTGTAAGAGTCTACTAGGATTTGTGGACAGTACATCCCAAGACCTCAGTAGATACCTGAAGCTGGAGAGAACACCAAACTCAATACATATGTACCCATGATACAATGTAGTTTATAAAACAGACACTAAGAGATTAATAATGACAATGAAATATAATTCTAACAATGTCCTGTAATAAGATTAGTGTGGATGTTTGCTCTCCCTCCTCAATATCTCATTGTACTTTCCCCTTTTCACTTGAAGCATCTGTCAAGGATGATTAAAAAAAAAACTCACTGGAGCTTAAAGTGACCCCAAAGCCCATTTGAGGCAAGCCATAGGGATCACTCATCTTGCTGTGGGTGGTTCTGCAGGGCAGGCATACAGACAGACAGGACACACCCTAGTCCTTACCCAGCTGCCACTTTCGGGAACACATGGTCTCCATCATCCAGATGGGCAGGGCAGGCTCCAGCATGGCTATCCCCATGTTTGCAAAGCAGATGGAGCCTGCAGAAAAGGAAGGGTGTTAGTGTCCTTCTGCCTTCATAGTAAGTGTCTGTGATCACTTCAAACACAGACCCCACGGGCCCCAGCTCAGGGACCGCACTTTCATGGGATAAAAGCCAAACAGTGAGCCAAGAGGATAACAATTACTATTAGCTTTAATTTAAGCCAGCTCCATGCCAGAGTTACAAAGTCTGTAACAGGAGAGAGCCATCAAACTCTTTTGGCTTAGCCCATCCACCTTACAAATGTAGAGAAAATGTTGCAGTTCCCTAAGGAGGAGAGCTGCGTACAGCAGCTGGCAGCCCCCACACAGCATGGGACATCGCGATCCCTGAGGTGTCAGAAGATCTAAGGGTCATGGTGCACTGGGGACAGGTGTTTGTCCAGCCATATACACATAGAGTATCCATGCAGCTCTTCATCATTTGTTAGCCAAGCTCTGTAAACACAGAACTGCCTGGAAAAAGACACACAGAATGGCCCTCCGTCATTCTAGAAGCATCCTGTGCTGTGCTCTGTGGAACCTGTAATTTGCTAGAACAAATTCAAAGAAAGCTGTGCAAGCATGATGGCAGTGTGCACAGCTCATTCCTGGTGACATTTAACGGCAGAACATCTGAACGATCGGGCTTCTCTTCCGACTCACCTCGCTCCTCACTCCCTCCACCACCGCCACGTGTAACACAGGAATTGTGCCTAGCCTAGCAGTGTGGGGTACATCTTCGATTTTCCTTCCGTCACTGAGGTTCCAAGAAGCAGTCACTGCCTGGCCCATAAGTGCTCAACTCAGGGAGTTTACACCTCTAGGGCCCCACCCTTCCAAACCCCTATTTTCCACCTAACCTTGACTCTGGGATGTTTCCTGCACCCTGTAGAGCCCAGGGCATGAAGAGATTGGTGCACTGACTTCTTAGCCCTTACTCTAGGTGCCACCCTGGCTAATCCCACAGAAGAAGGGTTCAACGAAAAACAGTCCAGAGCTTGGTTGACTGATTTTTCTTTTTCTTCCTTCCTTCCTTCCTTCCCTCCTTCCTTTCTTCCTCTTTCCTTCCTTCCTTTCTTTCTTTTTTTCTTTCTTGACAAAGTTTCATGTAGCCTAGGCACGTCTTTCCTAGAACACCAAGGATGTCCTTGTACTGGGATTACAGGTTGGCGTTACCATGCCAAGTTTAAGCAGTGTTGAGGAATGCATGAGGTTCTGTGCATGATAGACAAGCTCTATTCACTGAGCTACATCAGCAGCCTTCAACTTGGAGCATTTAAAGAGCTGAATATAAATATTCCACAGAAGACAAGATCCAGTTCTCTCAAACATTCTCAGTTGCCTTGTACGTCATGCTTTGCTTAGACAAATCATCCCCTCTCAGGCTGAGCCATACTGCAAGGCTGCCCAAAGGGCCACTTGCTGGTAGCAGCCTTGTATCTAGGAAGGGAAGCCCAGACCCTGCAGGGAAATATACTGTCTCCCCTGGGGCCGACCCACCAGAACCCCAGAGTTTTCTTTCAGTCCATCTAGGCCCCATGTCCAAAGGCATAACTTCTCATGCTACAGGCAGAGAGGTGCTCTCTAGGGCTCAGTTCTCAGGCCAGACGTGCACCTGAGACACTTCCTTCCAAGAAAGTTCAAGGCCAAGTAGTGAACCTTTAACATGAAGACAAGAAACCAGCAAGTATAATGCAGGGATATCCCATGTCTCTGACCTCACATTCCCAGCAGGCAAGTGAAAATCACCCCCACTGCCCACCCACCCCCGTAGAACGGTCCTTAATTTTCAGAACCCAGGAGTCCCACCTGCAGCGATGAGGATATACGGGTCCTTCAGCAGGGTAGTTAGGGGTGTCCCCTTCTGACTCTGTCAGGCAAAGAGAGGGGTTAGAAAGAGTTCCTTGGGCCACCCTTTGGCCTTCACCGCCCAGTTGCTTACCTCTGGCTGCACCCGGGAAGGCTGGAGCACAAAGAGCTGGACAGCTGCAAAGGGGAAGCACAGATGACCCTTGGGAAGCAGTTATGGCCCGAGCACATGCCATCACACAGGCCAAAGCCACAGCCACTCACCTCCATCCAAGAGCACCAGGGCAGCCAGGACCAGGAAGGGAGCTGTCTTCCCCACAAACTCATAGAGTATACTCCCAAAGGGAGGTCCCACTACAGAAAGAGAGATCCACAAGACAGCCATGGTAGGTGGGTTCCTCTCCCTCATAGGAGAAATGCCCATTCAATTCTTAAATTTTGCCTCCTAAAAGATTTGGGATGCACACCCTACACACAGCTTAGCATCACGTTGAACTTCTCCCTAGGTACGTTTTCGCCTACGAAATGGGAAGAACACACAAAAGCATCCCGAAGACCAAGGGTTTGAAGCAAAGGAGCTAGGCCAAGAGTTGTGTGGGTTCTGTAGCACAGGATGCTTTACAGACTTTATACCACCAGACATGGAAAACACTGACTCCAGAGAGAAAGAAAATATCAAAGACATGGGAAAATATCCAACTCTCCTTGAGGAAAAATGTCTGTCCCCTGGCCTAGGATGTAAACCAGGGCAGGTGTAATGGCAGATACAGAAGGCTAGAAGTTTCTCTCAGATTATAATTCAGAATTTATTATTATTATTATTATTATTATTATTATTATTATTATTATTATTATTAT